ATTATAAATAATAAATTACTGATAAATAGAAATATTTAAAAAATAATTGAATGAATAGTTTTGAACCATATTTGTGAGGATGTATTCAAATTGTTTCTAACTTATCTGCAGCTTTTTTTCCTGGTAAGAAATTATGCCACGATTATCGAAAAATTATTAATTTAAAGAATTAATTATCTAAACGTATACTCAATATTGAAGTATATGGATTAACATTTTGGAGAATCTTTATTTTTTCTTGTGATTTTTATACACTTCAATATTCGCAATAAAATTCCAGTTTTTTTTTTTTTTTTTTTTTGTCATATCATATTTAAATGTACTATATTTTAATTTTAATTTTAATACACCAGAGTACCAATTAGATATAATTTTAAATTAAAAAAATAACTTCAAAGTGAAAAATTATCAAAGTACAATCAAGTTGCTATAAAAGATAATAACAGAAAAAAAAGTATGATCAACACATTCATCGCATAGATATTTTTTTAATATATTCAATACATTATTTAACGTGTTTTAGTAGAGTATTAAAACTCTAGATCCTAGAGCATCCTTGTACTAAGTACCAGTGACTTCAAAAAATAAATGAAGAATTTCCAATTTAACTTTAAAAACTCTCATTTTCTATAATGAATTTGAAGTAGTACATAATTTGATTATCCACAGTTGTAATACTTTTAAACTTTTGATTTTGCAGACTAAAATTAAAATTCAAAGTCTGTGTTTTAAATATTTTCAGAATTGTTAAACTTTTAGTTTTAACAATAATGAGTTAAGTTGAATACAACAATAAATTTATAAACATTTACGATAATTACAAAAGAAATGAAATAATCTATTTTTGAATTTTGAAACTTAAAAAGTATACTCTAAATAATCACATTTTTAGTTAATGTAATATAAAAAAAAAATACAAAAAAAAAAATGAAATATTTTATTTTTTTTTTAATTATAATAAAAATCCAAAAAAATTGTCTCTAAACATAAAAAAAAAATCATTGTAAAACCATATTATTAGATTGTACAGTGGTTGTACAATAATAAAATGTGTTTTTAATTTTTATTATTTTGTGTCTATCATCAAATGTAGGAGCATGTAATATAAATAGATTTTGAGGGTATTAATTGATAAATTTGTGTATGTGTACAGATGATATTATGTCTTGATAAATTTTCTAATGTAAAACTTTTTTAGTATTAAAATCAAACTAGATTTTAATGCGAAACCAGATTTTGACATTTTCTTAAACTCTTGATCATAGAGCACGTTTATTTTGATTAATGATTTAATTTTTTTTATCTATTGCTGATTAGAATTCTTAATTTTTTCTGAATATTTTCAATCATGTAAATTAAACAAACAACAAAGGTTGTTTTTACTTTATTTAAATACAACTAGTTTTTATAGATTTTAACCACTGGAAACAAAAAAAAATAAAAATAGTTTTCACTATGAAATAAATTAATAATATAAATATATATTTATATTAGCTACTTCAGACTACAAAATTGAATCGTAATATATTTTAAAATTTTCAATTTAAAATAATTTTAATTATTTTCAGAAATGAATTTTATAACAATAATCTAATAAATAATACTAAGTTCGTGTTAAAATAATAAAGATAATCGTCATTAAATACTATATATGAATATTTTTTTAAATATAACATAGCGTCTTGTATATGACAATATACAATACATATAATAAAATTTAAATAAAACCTAGTTAAATAATACTTATTAAAACATTCATAGAGATATTTTTTTTTTAATAGTTTTTATTTCGTCAATATTTTTTACTTAATTCATTTTTTTAAATCACGAAAGGATTGTTTATTGTTTGATTCTTAAAAAGGAGAGTTGAGTTAGCAAACATAATTTTTGTCTTTCTCATATTTATATATGTTTTTAATCTATTAATACTATACTGACCAAAGTAAGCTGTATGAGTCGAAAGCTTAATACAAAGATACATGGATATTGATGCGAAACAGATAACCTGTTCGATCGTCATATGTTCTAGGGGTTATAGTAAAAATGGCGTCTGTTAAAAATGTATTCCATACCAATGTTGACAAGTATTATAAAAAATGTATATATTTCTATATTGTTTATTGTTTAAAAAAATATATATATATATATATATAAATGAGGATTGATGCATTTTTATTTTTATCTTTTTGAAAATATTAAATTTTAAAAATAAAATAAAAATAACTAGGCATTTACTGCTGGTTTTTGACTATAAATTATATTTAAATTTGTATTTACTGTAACTCACTAGAATTTATACTTACATACAATAAGTTAGTACAATACACAGCAATAATCAAGAATATCATATCATCATAATATCGTATGCTTAGTTGAGTTTACATAGTGTATGATATACATTATTGTTGTTGAAATATTGAAATGTATTTATAATTGAAAAGTTATGTCATTATACGTTAGTGCTCATAAATTTATTAATAATAATATAAAATAACAATATTATAAGTAACCTTTAGTTAATCGTGTTATTGGTGTAGTGCTCTAATATTTTAATAAATTGAATTAATTGATTGAAACGTCTTACAGTTCAATAACTGTCGATAGACAAACTAAAGATTTTTTAACGATTATTTTTTGAAGATAATCAATTATTTATATATTAGAGCATATTATCAGTTTTATTTTAAAATAAAAATTACTTTAACAGTAAATATTCTTTAAAATAACCCGGAAACTTAATTTTACTGAAAATTATGTTTCGATTGTATGCAATGTAACTCTTTATTTTAGGTTCAAATTAAATTTTTTTTATTGTAAATCAAACCATAGATAATTGTAATTTTTCAAAATATTTAAATTAGAATTTTATAAACAGGATTATATAAATTTTAAACATATTTTTCACTCTTATTGAGATATTTATAGATATTTACACTTTCAGTAGTGTATTAAGTCTTTGTCAAGAAGAAGGGAATAGCTACGCTATTAAAATCAGGTTTGTATTGGTAAATAAATGTATTTTTGTTAATATATAATATTGCATAGTTATAAAACGTGAAGCTTAAAATCTAGATTAATTGTTACTTAAGTCGAGCATATTATGTATATAGTTACAAAATATAGTTTAATAATAGTAATATAGAAAGCATCCAATTAAAAATGACTAAACCATGTATTAATAGCGGTTAACAACATTTAGTATTTTTAACTTGTAGTTATTGGTATACACATTGTTATTAAAATATGTCACATAATTAAATATTAGATAAGTACATAATTTATTACTTCAATCGATTAGTGTTAATATTAGCCAATATAAATTATAATTTGAATTTTAAGTTAATGTCGTATATTAACTATCACACTATTGTGCCAAGAATGCCGTTTAAAATGTAATTTCTAACTAATTTATATTATTTCGTTAAAAAAAATAAACGTTGTTGGAAACTTTGAAACCCTTAACAGTACACATAAATTTAGAATTCTAGACTGGAAGTCTTGTGTAAAGTTTATAAAGTTGGTTGGTGGTATGAATGCCGTACAAAGAAAACCATTGTATTCGATCGAAAAGGTCTGATTGATTACGCGTGCAACGAATTCTGTCTTAGCACAGCGTTCTTCTACTATAAATCAGACAGCATCGAACCCTAAAGACTTGTGACCGGAGATTACTACTGTCTTCTATACGGACCAATGAAAATTTATCTTGTTACACATTAATATATTCAGTTTAAGCTTTGAACTTATAATTGCTAGATAATAATCTTTGACTTGTTTGTAGTAATATTAATCAGTAATTTAGATTTAAAAAATACATTATAATATCATAGTCGATTTGTTTTTTTATAACTTTTTAAATTTTTTATCATTTTATATTCGATCATTTTTTATTTAACGATTTTATGTTACTGGAAATTATGTATATAAATCTTAATTTTTTCATAGATTTTCAATGTTCAAAGTGATGTTCAGTCTTTTTATTATTTCACAGGTACATAAACTCATTTGATCTTTACATATTTTCACTCGTGTACATGTCTGTTGAATCCTTTCATATGTATTCATAAATTTGGAAATATACTATAATATGATAATTCTTTATTTGAAAGAGAAATATTATTCCTAATTATTTTGTATTTTAATAAACTTCTCTCTATTATCTGAAAATTGGTTTAAAGTAGATCATTTTGGAAATATATTTATATAATATGTATATACCTATTTAAATGCAGAACTATCTGTATCTTGTAATATTTTTATTTTTTTGAAGAATGGGGATTAGTAACTAAAATTAAAGTTCACTGTTTTAAGTAAATCATATACATTACCACTAAACTACTTGGAAATAATGTTTAATATAAATTTTAAAACTAATTGTTTAACTTATTTATAACTATATATTTCAAAACCCGGGAAAACCGTTCAAATAAATCTCATTTTCTGCCAAACGTTAAAAAAAACATAATCGATTTTTATGTTCACATGTCTCATTAGTCTCATTAATAATAATGATGATGATAATAATAATAAAAAGCATTTATAAATAGAAGAACTTAATGGAATAGTGACTGAAATTTTCAATAACTAATAAATATTAAGTAAAATTGAGAATTTTGACAATTTAAAAAAAAAAATTGTAATTAATTTTTTCAATAAACAAACATTGTATATAATAATACTATATATTACGTCTGGCAATATGAGTTAGAGATAATGCATGGTTTAAACATCAAATAATCATCAAAAAAGTTCAATTCTTTAAATCCTTAAGTTCTTACATTGCACAATTTTTCGATTAATATTTGTTTATCTTTTAATATACGTGCTTTGTACCATTTCGTAATACATTATTGCACATGATTATTATTAAAAAATAAAATTGCTTAAAAAAAAAAAAAAATAAATGGACCTTGTTATGTTATAGTTTGCAAACACAAATGTAATTTTAATACAAACTTTAAACACAAGGTAATATTTGTTATTTTAATTCACATATTTACCGTTTTGTCATTTAAACGGTTCACTTTGCAATGGAGATCAACATTTGCTCCAATTTGGACTGTGACGTTACTGTGACTAGATGTTTCATCAAAATATGGAACAACTTTATCTTCTTCTGTTGTAGGTGAATTGCTTGTAGTAGGTTCCCATAAAACGTGATTGAGTAATGCTTCAAGATTTCCATCATTTTCAAATGTCGATTCTAAAACAATACATTAGTTTTTCAGTTTTTTTTTTAACGATTATTGTTATAAGGTATTCTAAATACATTTTTCTAATAAAAATCAGGTAAAAATAGATTATCTCAAATAATAATAAACGGATAAAACAAATTATTTATAAATGAGATAAGTAATAATGATGTTTCAAGTGTTATCCAGAAACCTGGGTTAATAGACACTTATTTATAATACACACGTGTCTTTCGATGAGAAAAATAATAACATTTTGACAAAAAAAAAAAAAAAAAGTATTCTAATTTATTTTGATCATTCTATAACCGAACTTTTCTTTTACTGAAATGGACAGTATTTTCCTCTTTGAATTGTGAAAAAAAAAAATGTTCATTGAAACATAATGTCAGTTTTTTTAAATTTTAATATTTAATAAGTTATACAGAGTGTTAAATTTTATTTATTCTAGTCAATTTTTTTGCTTATTTTGATTGTATTTTTAATGAAAAAATAATTATTATTAATTCTTTGCATTTTTTGTCTAAAATAAAATTTTTATAATATTAATTTTTATTTTTTATTTTCTTTAAAATAAAATAAAAATGAGTAAATGCAAAATTTTTATTGTTTTCCAAAAAATATATAAAAAAATATTAGTCATTGAAGTTTAGTTTTCTTAATGTCTTGATAAAATTAAATTAATTTCTATCTCTAAAAATGTTAAATTACAATTTTTTTTTTTTAATTACTTAGTTATAAACATAGAACTTTAAAAAAAAAAAAAATGTGAAATTATAATTAGCCATTCAATTTTTTTTTAAATTTTTTTACTTTCTACTCTATTTATTAAAAGAAAATTATTCAACTTTTAATCATACATAGATCCAATTATAATTTGTTATTTTCATATAATTCCTTAAGTTAAATAAGGAGCGTACAATTTTTTTGGATTTATTGAATTAAACTTGGCTAAACAACTACCTACCAGTTAAAAAAAATTATCCACGGTAAAATGTAGTTACTATTTGGATATATATATCAAAAAGTTTCCATATTGGGTTAAAAAGAATGAAAATATAATATAATTACTTTAAGGTTACAATACAAGCCTAAGAAAACTTTTACGATTGATGAAAGTTTAATATAATATTTTGTTATAATATAACCAAACAATTAATATTCTTATGTTCCTAAAATATAACTATAATAATTCAAAAGTCATATTAAATAGTTGAAATTTAATCGTATACAGATTTTATTATTGTATATTTTTTTTTCGTTTAATTTGTCTGCGATCATGTAATGATTGAAATTTAAAAAAATAAGGTAATAATATTATATAAATCAAATAATGAAAAATATCAATTATTGAAATAAGGGAGCTGATGTGAATTTCAGTAAGTCAATGTAATTTATCATTTCATTTATTTAATTTAAAATATAATAATATATCAGTTTGTGTATTTGACTGAAAATAATGGAATTTTTAACTCTTTTATCTTTGATATTGTCTCAAACGTATTTCATGTATTATGAATGATAGATGTATTTTTGTTATAAACAAACAAATTTTAGCTCAATTGTCTCAAATAATTTGTTTGAGTAATATATATAAGAATCAAATTCTGAGTTTTTGTAAAAAAATAATATAAGATTGTTTTATTTTTCTTTAAAATTAAAATGCTAAAATCTATTAAATAATTAAAAAATATAATATTATATTTTATATATGATATGTTTATCTTTGTCTTTATAATTTCTAAAAATCCCTAAAATACATCATCCGTGATTTTTAACAACACAATATTATTATATATTTTCAAAAGGAATTGTACAGTTTGATACAATTTTACTATATGCCAGTTAAACGACGGAAAAATAGTTTTTCGAAATTATTTACATTAGTCTACTTATCACGAGTGACAATTCAATTTATTTAGCTATTTCTAAACTATTGAGCATGTACTTACACGTTAACATGCTACATTATTCTAGTTATTTATATTCTTTATACTATTTGGTATATAATTCAAATACAAAATTAATATGTCATGTTCTTGAATATTTCAAACTTTGTTGATTAGGTATTAAATTAAACTTTAATTCATACTTTAAAATCGATAAAATTATACTGAAATAGAAATGTTTAAATATTGGATTAATAACAGGCATATTATACATATGGAAGTTTTTATAGATATCATATTTAAACGTAATGGATAGAACGATAGATACTAATGCGTGAAAATGTTTTTTACTTGATTTAGTCAAATACATATTTTGTCAAAGTATAAAGTGCACTTTTGTTTTGCAAGTTATTTATCTTCGTTAAATCTTCAAATATAAGACTACGAATACTTAAAAAAAATGTTATTTAAAATAAATGTTTTTTAAAACTTTTTTGAACTAGATGAAAATTTTACATAATTTAAAATAAAATATAAGTGCTATAGGTTATAACTATTTTTTCTTCTAACCAATTCTGCGTTACATTAACTTAGGTAATCAAATCAAAAAAAAAAAAAAAATATGAAACTAATGTTATAATTATATAATTTCACGTTTAAATACCTAAATTATCTTTTAAAACTGATGATTATGAATGTTACCATACAAAATTTGTAGATACATTTTTTTTTAATCACAATTTTAAAAATATACGTATAATTCAATATTTTGCATACAATGAAAAAAACATCAAATAGCATGCAGCATTTGTAAAAAAAATATCTTATTATAGAGCAGATATAATTGTATATTTTATAGAAATGTATTAATATGTTAAAGTTATTTATGTATAATATTATTTTTATCCATCGATAAATTATTGCAATAATGACTAAACTTTTTGAACAAATAATTCACATAATACACTTTTGAATGTATCGATTTAATGTTAAAAAATATAATGTTATCTGACTAAAAAAAGTTTAAATATTCATTTTTTTTTTTTTTTTTTGAAACTATAAAAATAACTTAATACGTTTGCAATGATTTTATTTAAAATTATGTATTTAAAAATGAGGATCAATAAATAAGTATGGTTTATACATATAATTACATTTGATATAATAATTTAAGATTACATATTTAAATTTGAAACACGCGTTTAATCGACTGTTATGAACTTGCTTAGGTAATCAATCGTTATTGTATGAAAATATTCAGTTCATTAAGCTAAGCTGATGGGGTGTTTATAAAACATAAATTTATGTATGTAAGAATATACATTTAAAAGAGTTTGATTCATGTTTTTTTTTTCAATCATCGTTATTTATTATGTATGTATAATGATTATTGTATGGTAATATTTTCATGTTTATTAGTATTTTTTTAAGGTAATTGTTTTTCTTTTGGTTATGTGTATAAGATGAAAAGTGTACAATTTTATGATTAAATTTATTCAATCGTATAATTAACTAGTAAAATTAATCAGCTTATAGTTTCTATAAATAAGTTGCTCTAGTTTTTAGTATATTGCATTTTATGAACAGTAGATGATATCAATTAGAATCAAAAGAATTTATGTTGATTAAATGTGAATCTAGTTTTTTTTTTTTTTTAATACTATAATTTTGCCTGAGAATCTGTTAGGTAAAAATACAAAAGAAAACAATGCTGTGACTTATTACAGTAAACTCTAACAGATGAAAGTGTTTCTCATGAGTTACTCGTTTTTCAAGATCATATGTCAAACTTAACAATAACTAAAATATTATACTATTATTGTACAAGAATAATAAAAAATCTATGAATTGTATATTACATTAAAAAAAAGCGAAAGAAATGAGAGTGAAACTACATTAGACATTATCAAACATTTTGTTTATAATATGTTTACATTAAAATAAATAAATTAAATACAATAGATAATAACTTAATATAAAAAATATATTTTAAGTGTTTAAGTTTTTATTAAAAATAAATATCTTCTTTTACAAGAAAAATAAATGAAATTTAAATGTATACCTACAATCTACATATACTACATATTTATGCGTATATTATTATATACTTTGATGTTGTATTCTTAATATTTATGTCTTGTGGTATTGATATACATTAATATAATATATTAATATTCATATTTTTTAAAGCTTGTTACTGTTATTATTATTTCACTTATTTATTTTAAAAAGTTTAAGTGTTTTTAATTTTTAAGTATGTACATATAATTACAGCGAAAAGCGTTTCGTTAAAACAATATTTGTCATTATGGATTTTTTAAATTTAAACAATAATACAATTTACTTATATCCATTGAACTGCGTAATATATAGGCAATATCGGTATATTGCCGTGTAATGTTTTTTAGTTGCTAAGAACGAAAACGTTGGGAACGATAAAGTGTCGGTAGTTGAATAATTTATAAGGTTTTATAACAACATTAATTTTAATAGTTTAAATTAAATTATTTATTTTTACAGTTATACAATATTGCACTCAAGCATTGATCCACCTATAGTATTTCATTCAGTGTCTCAATGATTTAAATGGCTTAGACTGAGTAGCATTTAAAATATGTTCATTGAATAGGTAGCTTTCAATCGATATACGATCGATAGATAAGTTTAGTATTATAATAATATCTTGCTAAAAGACGACTACAACTAGCAAATTTTGTTGTGCGTGGCTTATTGGCAAACGATGACAAATTTGTAGATTACAACAACTAGGCAAATAGCGCGTCGGAAGAGAAATGGCTTGAGTTGTGCTTATGCGATAACTAAGTTTAATAATGAATCCATTATGGAGTATAAATGTAGTTGATATAGTATTATAAATTCCATTAAGATAATAGTTGAATGAATTGTAATAAAAATAACTGACTACAAAGAAGATATAATCTAATAATTCCAAGTTGTTGATTCTATCTTATTACAAAAAAGGAAAAGAAAGTATTTGATGAATATTCTAACCGTATATATGTGTTTATTGTATTTTAATTATTTCACATCAACCAGCAATAATATTTTCTGTACTAACACTGTTTATTTTAATTGAAAAGTTATTCAAATACCCTTTATGC